TCACTTTATACACTCACCGGCAAAAAAACAGGCCACCAAATAATCTAGCCAAATTGTTTGCTCTTTAACTTTTTTATAATAGACCGTTGGCCCATAACACTAGGGGTGTCGATTATCTACGAAGGTATGCCCTTCAAGAGACATGAAGATTGAGTTGGATTATCGGGAAAAAAGTGGTTAGTTGGATCGGTACCCGGTCGCCCATCTCCCTAATCAATCAACTTCCTGTTGAAAGTAATGTTGAAAATTGTTTTATAGAAGAAGCTTCAAAATTCATTGGAATAGTCGCATCTCGCCAAATTAACCGGGCGCTAGCCGATTTGCATACGTCTAGGTCGGTCCCGAAGGGCGGCATACGGACCGCAAGTTACCATTCACCGACATTTCTCTCAGATTATTTACGATGGTATGCCCTTTTGTTAATTCCTTCATTTCGACCCATGAATCAATGCCATAACATTTGCATACAGTTTGGGTGGGCGAATTCAGACTTATTCGAAGGTCACTTTACATCATTGACCTGTATGTACAAGATTATCTACGAAGCTCCCAAATTTTGATCAAGGTTAGTTAAGCATAAACTATGCATGGAATAATGATTTGCATACGATTTGCGAGTTGCGGGGATTACATTTAGCCCAGCAAAAATGGCGGCAAAATTCGTTCAACACCCTGTAAGAGCTCAAGATATCGACACAATCAAATTCTTTCTAACTTTAGAACTTACACAAAACTCGTCCCGATTTACCCGTTTCGAGTTATTCGAGGTCGAAGTTTCGAAAAATCAGTTTTTGGTTCAAAAACCACTAAGAAACTAATTATTATGTCTGTACGACGCGTCTGAACTGCCATCCTAAAAAAACTTTTTTTTCACGGATATTTGCCTGATTTACTGTTGATCTCCTAATTCACAGTTGCAACTGTAAATTAGGAAGGAGACTCTTTTTTTTTTCAGAACATCTCCTAATTCACAGTTGCAACTGTAAACATATAACTACTATTTATGTCGAACCATTTATATCACGCGGTATATGGCTGTCTCTCTGACAATCACTGACCACCTGCTGTCTTGTCGTCCTTATATATCAGATGATTTGGCTGGCTATATGCTTGTCGAATGTTCCCGAAAATCATCGGTACCCTTCTTTTGTTCTCGAAGCTTCTCATAGAAAAGTATCTCTCTCTCTCTCTCTTTCTAATAGTTCCATCGATTGTTTTGAGATGTTTCTGTCGCTGCGACACATATTGGGTGTTCGAAAATATGCTGATTCATGTTAGAATTATTGGGATACTCGAGAACAATCTGATACGCGTGATACAGGAAGATCGTTATACGCCTTCTCTCAGGGGAATATTACAATATCGTTCATGAAAATAACAAAAAACATGGGATCCAAAATTGATCCTTTAGGAACTCCCATTGTAACTCCAAGAGGATCAGATTCATAGAATCCAACAAGACTATCTGCCGGTTCTGCAAATGAGATGCGCCCCCCTGACATCCCCCCTAGAGTCATCCTGTATCATCCCCGGCCCCCGGCACTAGTAGTAGGTGCCAGATTCGAGCTTAGTGACCCCGAAACCTCCGTGAGAGCCCTTGGCACTCGATCATTCTGGAATTTCCAGTTTCAACTTTTTAGTATTAGAAAAACTGGAAAAAATAGACTCCCTATAGCAAAATCGACGTATGCTCACAATACATTCGTATGCAAACGCTATTTTCTTATTCAGTATAACTGAATCTATCACCTGATTGAATGGCATACAAAATTATATAATCTTGATATATATAATCGATGATGTAAAGTGACCTTCGAATATGTCTAAATTCGCCCACCCAAACTGTATGCAAATGTAATGGCATTGATTCATGGGTCGAAATGAAGGAATTAACCAAAGGGCATACCATCGTAAATAAACTGAGAGAAATGTCGGTTAATGGTAACTTGCGGTCCGTATGCCGCCCTTCGGGACCGACCTAGACGTATGCAAATCGGCTAGCGCCCGGTTAATTTGGCGAGATGCGACTATTCCAATGAATTTTGAAGCTTCTTCTATAAAACAATTTTCAACATTACTTTCAACAGGAAGTTGATTGATTAGGGAGATGGGCGACCGGGTACCGATCCAACTAACCATTTTTTTCCCGATAATCCAACTCAATCTTCATGTCTCTTGAAGGGCATACCTTCGTAGATAATCGACACCCCTAGTGTTATGGGCCAACGGTCTATAATTCTGGTCCAATTTTGGTGAAATTCCGACCAAATGTTAGTATCATGTTTCCAAATGTTACCTTAAATATTAGTTCCTAAAAAAATCTGATGACTCGATCATTATACAGGGAAAAACGAAAGTTACTTTTTCACCCTTAACTTCTGAACGCCCTGTGGGAAAGGTGAGTAGTTTAACTCAGCTTCATTATGTTTTAGATTGAATAGTGATCTCTTTTCTACAAGATGGTTTTTTAATCACGCGTCGATAACCACTTTTCAATCAAGATACAAGTGTTTCAAGAGAGTATGGATTTTCAAAATTTTCATTTAAATAATTCAAAATCAATCTCCAACCTTCTGCTTCATCATGTTTTAAATTAAAGTGTGATCTTTCGTTCCTTCTTCATACAACGGCTCTTGAATAACGTCAATATCTCCTATTTGAGAGAAGATACAAGTGTTTCAAGAAAGTATAATTCTTTTAATTTTCAATAACAATAATTCAGAACCTATCTACCTATCTTAGGGGTGACCTCTAGAGGCTCAGTCGCCTTCGCCCAGCCTTGTCAGAAACTCTTCAAGAGCTACGATTCGCCCTTCGTGGACGATTTTGGGCAATTCTTCAAGGCTACTTGAGTAATTTGATCAATTTGATGCCACTGCGGTTGAATGCTGTAATTCAATATCGAGGAGAGCATACTCGTTATTTTGACTACAGGTCTGCTTCTTGTTTGTTTTTTGTAATTGATTTTCCGGTAAGTGCTCAGAAAGTAAGGTAGAAATATGTGATTAATCCTTGAAGTTGTTGATCAATAAGTTCATGTAAGTTCTGATTGTTGGTAAAAAAAGTTGAAAAACACCATATACTTCCTCAAACACTCTTCTTTTAAAAATAAAATATTGACGTGAATCAAAGACTTTTGTATTAAGAATGGTTCACACTTTAATCCGAAGCATAATGAAGCCATGTTCAATCACGCAATTTTGCCACAGGGCGTTCAGAAGTATAGGGTCAAAGAGTAAATTAGGTTTTTCCCTGTATAACAATCAAGTCATCAGCATTTCAGGAAAACTAATATTTAGGCTAACATTCCGGAACATAAATCCACGATTTGATCTGAAATTCACAAAAATCCGACAAGAATTAAAAAAGTTATAGTGTGAACAATTTGGGAAAAATTTTTGGTTCATTTTGCCGGTGAGTGTATTTTATTATAATTTTTTTTCTAATGAGGAACAGTAACTGTGCAATTATTATTGTTTCGATTCATTATGTTATATATGTATGTTTTGTTGTATATATCCCTGTTATAAACAATAATGTTTCTTGGGGTAATAAAGACAATTAATCAATCAACCGCTTCTGAGCAGTGGCGGATTAAGACATTTCGAAGTCTGAGGCGCAATATACCGGGTGATACAGGGTATCGGGCCTCCCCTGTAACTTCTGCATTCGTGAACTGATTTTTCTGAACTTATACAGGGTGTAATTCAATCGATGGCCGAGAACTCAGGATACGGAAAATCATATATACTATCTTGCGAAACTTTGGAATGGGTTCGTCAATCCATGAGACAGCATGGCAGCCTGATGTATTCTAGCAGAAGGACATTTTCAATAGTTCTTGTAATGATTAAATTAAATAGTATCAGAGTTAATTTTATCCACAGACATTGTCAACTTGTTTTTTTGATTTCTATGTATTGCAAATTCGTTAAAATCTCATGTTGTAGTTTTTGTATATAAGTATATAAGTATGTTCTGAATTTGTTGAAATGGTTTTGATTTTATTGTGTGGAAACGGTACGTCGGATGGAAAATAAATGAGGATTTCAGAAATGATTTTTATTTCTGGAAAAAGTAAGGGCGTACAATATTCTTTTAGGAAAATCTACAGTATACATACCGTACGGACGCTACTGGTAGAAATTTTTAAAAATCTCCTGCATCAAAAATATCTATGGGTACTCAGTAGGTAAAATCTACAGTATACATACCGTACGAACGCCACTGGTAGATATTTTTAAAAATCTCTTGCATCAAAAAATATATGGGTGCTTATAGTAGGTGCATCACAAATTTCATGGAAATATCTAGAACAGTATTGAAGTTATGATAGGAAAACGAATATTTTCTTAAAATGTTAACACCCTATAGCTCGAAGGTAAAGAGGTTTTTAGGGCATATATGTTCATTGGAACTTTTCTTCTCAAAATAAGCTTGGTACAACCATATCCTTAGTTTTCGGCCATCAATCAAATTACATCCTGTATAAGCAACTATTTTGGATTCGATCACATTTCAGTCCAATATGGTGAACTTCCGGATTTTCCGGGAATACCAGCAACTTTGTCTTTTTTCGAATAGAACACCCTGTATATTTTTACATATAATATAGTTCAACAGGTCAAAACGAGTGCAATTTTTATGTCAAATGTAATTTTTTCGAAAATTGCTGAAATTGAAATTGTTGATTTATTTTGAGTTGTGGATAAATGAGATGTGATCAAAGCTATTCACAATGAGTCCCACATACTATTATCAGAGACACATATTATTCAACAGTGTATAAATGTATATAGGTACATATGTTGTGATTCAGATGCCCAGACACAGAGGAAAGAAGTCAACAAAAACTACGAAATCTCTGGAAAGTCCAAATAATTAAAAACCAGAAGAACAAGGATACATATTAATATAAAAAGTGCTGTAATGTTTAGAGGAAGGTCCTACATCTCACATTGAATATAAAAATGTTAAAGATCAAAGATCTCTTTCTACTGGGAAAACTGGGTAAATCTTCGATCATCATGGGATTCGTTGTTCGGAGGGGTAAATCAGTGGGATCAAATAACCTAACCTGGCAAGTGCCAAAAACGAGAGAAGAAGAAAGAAATTAGTCATTATTCCTACATTGACATTGCTAACTTCAAGTATGTCTGATTTTTGTTTATAGGTTGCGTGCAAGAACTGTCAGATGACCAACCCTGGAGGCAAAACATATTTCTTTACAAGTGATCGAAATAGTTTTCCACAATTATTTTGGCATATGAATCGTATTTTTCCACTATTCATTAATTCGCTAATGCCATCACATTGTGCTGTTGTAAAATGCACAAAAACTGCAGCAGAAGATGAAGAAATCCAGATGGTACATTATGATTCAAAAGTAAGTACCTACTATAGTCACTCACATAGTTTTCATTTTTGAAATTTGGTTATTTCTCTGATTTCTCATCGGAATTCCTTCTGCAACAGGATCATAAGATAGAAATATACCTGAAATTTCTAGAATAATGCAAGAAGATTGGATTCATGCAATCAATCGGTAGGACTGGTCTGACATGCTGACGATCGTGTGTGTTGTAGACATTTTCAATCTATTAGCATCATTAGCTTGTATTGCAGAAGTGGCAGAAGGCAGAAGGAATTTCAATACATGACAACATTTCATAATGCTAACTATGTGAGATTACTATTTACCTGAAAAATCATATTCCCTAGTCTTGCTGCATTTTTTGTGCATTGTACAACAGCACAATTCGAAGGCATGCTTGAATTAATGAATAACGCAAGAAACACGATTCGTATGCCAAAATATTGTGAAAAACTATTTCAACCTTTTGATTCCTCTGTAACCAAATAAAAAAGTGAGGTTGTGTTTCAATAATTCACAGAAGAATGAGGTTGAGGTTGTGTTTCAATATTTTGCCTCCAGGGTCGGTCTTCGTGCACGCGACCTATAATCTGAAATCTGTAGTAAAATCAAAGAATAGTAGGTTAGTAAAATGCGGTAAAATGGCTATCAATGAATATACAGACTATTGTAGACTTTGTCAAAGTAACATTGGAACCATTCCTATCAATAATGAGGATAATGAGCTTCTCAAGAAAATAACAAATATCACAAAAATTGAGGTAATATTTCACATCACCTTTGATTCATCACAATCATTCATGATTTCTCTTTCAGATGAGTAACAACACCAAGATGCCACCAAATATCTGCACTTCCTGTCAACAGAAAGTTGTAGATATTCAACATTTCATAGATATGGTTAAAAAAATAGATGAGCACCTTCAATATTTAGGTAGATTAGAAAACAGCAAAGGGATAATTCCAAATACTGACTGTGCAAATGAAAATGATACTGAAGAAATTCACAAATGTGAGGAATGTCTTTGTACATTCACAGAGAAAAGGGCTTTAGAAGATCATAGTATGGTTACTCATTCAGGTAACTAATAAAAATAATATAGTCTGTTCATTCCATCAAAATGATCATATTTGATTTATATTCAATTTACAAGTATGTATGAAATGGTGAACTGTATAAAATCATCTGAATAAGGGTATGTGAAACATTTGATTTATGAAATGAATGACTCCATGAACATAAGTAAAGTCGATGTTCTTTTCCACCATTACATTGAGTAGAATTTTGATTGAAATTGAGTGAGTACCTACCAAGAGTTATTATTATATAATTTGTAGGAATGGCAGAACTAGGAACACCAAATGAATATACTTGTAGTATATGTTCTGAAACATATCAGAATTCCTCTGATTATACTAATCATAAAAAACTATTTTGCAAAGCTGTTTCTGAAATAGTGAGAATAAAAAAAATTCAAAAACATGGAAACATAACTATGAGCATGATTAAAAAACTGAAGAGAAAACAAAGAGCCAGAAGCAGAAACAAAAAAAATGGTAGGGTAAACCATTTAAGGGAAATTTCTAGTTTTTTTCTATATTTTGCATCAGTTTCAGATGATTTAGTAGATGAAGATGTAAGCAACAATGATGAAGCAGAAAATTCAAATACACATCAGACCTACCCATGTATAGATGAGGAGTGTACCAAAACATTTTCCTCTCAGTATTCACTAAAAATACACCAATTAAATCATGAAGGAAATCCTAGGCCTTTTTTATGTGTTACCTGTGGTAAGTTTCATAATCAGAATATTGATTTTCCTTGGCAGAGTAGATTATAAAGAATAAAATATTTTTAACAAAATTTACAAGCATAGATTGTCATCATATTTTTACTACTGTTTTCATCTTTGACTTAATTTTTCTTAGCAAGGAAAATTTTCAGGAAAAGATTTCACAACTAGAAATTCTTTGACCTGTCATGAAAAAACCCACTTGGCCATTAAAGGCTACAAGTGTGAATTGTGTGATGTGGACTTTTCTGTTAGGAGCAATTTAAGAGCTCACATTAGGAAATACCATGAAGGAATTAGGTTTCAATGCTCCCAGTGTACAAAACAGTTTTTTAGTAAATGCAGTTTAGAAAGGCATGAGAAGCTACATACTGGAATAAAAGAATACAAATGTGAACATTGTAAAGCTGAGTTTTATACTAATAAGGAGTTGGCAAATCATCAAAAGTACCATCAGGTGAGATCAACTTTTTTCCTTATATAAATAATTCTTCAGTCTGCTCTCATAAATTGTATGGAAAGTTGCTGAACATTTTTTATTCATCTAAAATCTCAATTTGTGAAATGTGACATTAGCTGTAATAGATAATCTACTTATTTATGGGCCTCTTGTCCAGGAAGGACATCTAGCCAATGTATCCAGCTCATACAAAAAAAGACGCATGGATATTGATTACACAGCCCATTGTCATTGGTGTTCTGGCCCTTGTAGGTTCACCAAGAAAAATAGAAGTTGGATACAGTGTTGCCAGAACTGGTAAATTTATATGGATTCAGTACAATTTATACCCTTTACTACATTTCACCCAATTCTGGTACATATTCATGTTCATGTTCAGGTCAGTAGAGTCCCTTGATGGAAATTGCCGTTGAAGTCATCTCAACAGGGTACGGACTACGGACAGATCCTCGTCTCCTCTCACTCTAAAGTGTTTGTGAAACAGTTATATAGTTCCATCCTTATTCAATTCTGGGGATAAACCATATACGTATTAATAATCAATACGGATAATCTCTATCTGTTTCCATAGCGAAACATGAAGCCGATTTTTGAAGACAAATGACTATCCATATTAGAAATATCATATACAGAGCGAGCTGAATTCCAGAGGCAGATCAAATATCCTGTACCAAATGGAATATTATAATTTATTACAGAGTGAGCAGAAAAACCAGCGGCAGATTATAATCTTATCGATGAATATTGAAAAAATTACACAGTGTGTTTGAGACGAATGGATATTAGGAAAAAAACATACACAGAGAGACCTACAAAATCAAGCCAGAGCGCAATAATGCAGTCCAACATTGAAATCACTTTCCCAAATTTATTTACATGTGAAGTTATTCCGCGAATTTCAAAAATCGATTCAGCGACATTAAACCATAATGCAGGCCCATGTCATAGACTACAGAAGATAGAGATAGATAGAATTCAGTAATCTTTGCCCATGTTTCCAGAAAGTTGGTAGGTTAATTGATTTAATTGATTCTTGTTCTTTCTTTGAATGTCCAGTTGATGTGTCTTCTGAGGAGATGATGTCATGAGGCATGATATTGTTTGGAAATGTTGAAATTTCACGATGTTTTTCCAAAATATCGAGTCTTGCTTCCAACGAATCATATTTCTTATTATTTTCATCAAATTTGACGATCAAAATTTCGCACAATTCTTCAAGTCTATCGATCTTCTTCATAAAAATAGTATTCGAAACATCAGTTGGTATGATTCTTGATGAAATCTCTGAAAGAAGGCTCCTGTAGTCGGCTTCGTGGAATTGGTCCCTATAAGTTTTTTTAGTTCACCCTGTCAGCATCATTTCTTTCATATCCGTAAATTCCATCGAATCCCTAACATGGATGTTGAATTTGTATGATCTCGCCTTTGCTAAACTGCTCCATAATATCACATCGGGGTTACCAAATTGTGGATACAATTGATACAAATTATAAGACTGAGTATTGTAATTATATTATAAAAATGTCACATCAATGTCAGACCATTGCCGATCTAAATGAAAACCTAGTAGGCGACCTAGTACGAGGAGGTATAATATATTATTATAGCTCCTGCCTACTAACTACCTAACTAGGTTGTCATCTAGAACGACAATGGTCAGACTATCAAATCATAATATACCAAGTATATAACATAACTAGTCACCATAAGTATACTCTGGTCAGTTCACTTTGTGAATCTTCTGTTCGATTCGTATGGACTGGATGGTTTTCTCCGATTGAGTGGCAAGTATCAAATACTGCTTCTCTGATCTGCAACAGAACATCACATATCAATCGAAGTACATTCATATCAGAAAATAAATATCATTAGATGAATTACATGAATGTTGAATCTGAGACATACCTGAATAATATATTCAACGTCCGTAACTGGATTGTTACATATCCGCTTTCTTTCCGAATAGTGTTTTTTTCCAGTAGGCATCTTCCACATGTTATATTACGTACGTGGGTTATATTAAGGACCTTGAAGGCCAAACGATGTGCTGCTCGGATCCAAAACTAAGGCTCAATTTCAAATTTGAATCGTGAGAACTACATAGAATATTGGATATTGTTTTCAACATTCGTAACTGGAACGTGATATATTTTTGTAATTCAGCAATTCATCAAATATCTCAATGAAGACGAGACAGGCAGATAAACAACAATTTTCTCTGCAATGAAGAACACTGTATATACCTAACCCACCATGCGCCTACCTCCTTTGCAGAGAGGGTTTATAAACGCCGAGTTGATACTCTCCCCTCGTAAGGGTACCTGTCGTGTTTCCATAGAGACATAAAGGTGAATATCTGTCTTATCTGTTTTCTTGAGAATCTGGAAAGGATATCAATATATTGCCTTCCGTACGAATATAATGATCTGAATTCTGTAAAGTATACTCTGGTCAGGTCTCTTTGCGGATCTTCCGTTCGGTTCGTCTTGACTGGGTGGTTTTCTCCGATTGAGTGGCAAGTATCAAACACTGCTCTTTGGATCTGCAACTAAACATCACATATTAATCGAAGTACATTAATCAGAAAATTAATATCATCAGATGAAGTACATGGATGTTGAATCTGAGACATACCTGAATGATATTTTCATCGTCCGTAACTGGATTGCTACATATCCGCTTTCTTTCCAAATAGTGGTTCTTCCAGTAGGCATCTTTCACATTTTCAATTACGTTGGTTATATTGAGGACCTTGGAGACCAAACAATATGCTGCTCGGATCTGAAACTAAGTATCAATTTCAAATTTGAATCATGAGACCTACATACAATATAAATCTATGAAAAGTCTGGATATTGTTTTCAACATTCGTAACTGGAACGCGATATATTTTTGTAATTCATCAATTCATCAACTATCTCAATGAAGACGAGGCAGGCAAATAAACAACAATTTTCTCTGCAATGAAGAATACTGTATATACCTAACCCATCATGCGTCTACCTCCTTTGCAGAGAGGGTTTATAAACGCCGAGTTGATACTCTCCCCTCGTAAGGGTACCTGTCGTGTTTACATAGAGACATAAAGCTGAATATATGTCTATCTGTCTGCTTGAGAATCTGGAAAGGTAATCAATATATCGCTTTCCGTACGAATTTAATGATCTGAATTCTCTAAAGTATACTCTGGTCAGTTCTCTTTGCGGATCTTCTGTTCGGTCCTTATTTATTGGATGGTTTTCTCCGATTCAGTGACAAGTATCAACACTGTGCTTCTCAGATCTGCAAATATACATGACATCAAATATCGAAGTCCATAAAAACAAATACTGATTTTCATGAGAGGTGGAACATGGATGTTGAATCTGAAACATACCTGAATAATATTTCCAACATTCGTAACTGGAACGCGATATGTTTTTGTAATTCATCAATTCATCAACTATCTCAATGGAGACGAGGCAGGCAGATAAACAACACTTTTCTCTGCAATGATACTGCAATACTGCAAAAATTATCTTCCATCTCCACTTATGAAGCAACGTTGTCAAGTCACCAATTATAATCAATTTATCATAAAGATTAGAGTCCTGTCGTTGGATAAAACATAATAAGAGTTAGCCATCATGATATTATAGATCATTCTTGACTTTCTCGAGCAACCAGCATGTCTGTATATCTCTTATGCCCTATAACAAAATATCATGTTGATGTTGAAGACTCGGCAACAATGTGCTGAATGCTGAGAACTGACAAGGCACCGCCCACAATTCGTGCGCCGGGTTGTCACGTTTGAAAATTATCGTGGCATTATTGTTGATCTCAGCACCTTAAAATCGAATGAAGAATTCCAAAAATATATCAAATTGAAAGTTATTTGAGTGATGATTATATTTAAGAAATGAAAAAAATTTGTCAATTCGCCTATTTTATTTTTATGGATGGTTCCATTGCTGTTAGCAAGCAGTGTTTACTGTATATCACTGAAGATGACTCCACTTGGTCATATAGTGTGTACTTTCGATATATATCTACCGTTCCTGCAAATTTCAGAATCCTAACTAAACAAATACCAAAGATACAGGGATGCTTCCATTAAAAGTGAGACACACTGTGCAATGTTCATCTTGAGTCAATTCTGATCTTCATATCTCTTCGTCTGAAGTTTAATCTTCAAAATGAGCCTGAGATTTCAAAAATCGGTTGGGAAGGAAAAATGTTAAGACTGCAAAACCTAAAAGGTAATTTTTCGATATCACTCTGTAAGTAAAAGGGATAATAAGACAATTCGAATAATGTCTCAAGGTAATCTGCTGTCAAAGTTGAAAAAAAAAGTTTATATATAGTATACAAAATATAAGGTGAAGTATTGAACACGGATATACTGACAGTATTATTTTCGAAAGTTTAATGATTTAAAAAAATTTAACCTAGGCTGAGAATATAATATTTCCCAAAGAATCTAGATATGTTTTGTTACCTGGGAAGAAGAGGAAAAAATAATGAACAATGTGGTCTACTTTTTATAAGCGCGCATCCAAATTGATATTTGGTTTAATAATAATAATAATAATATGTTTATTTCGACAGAATCAGAATACAATGGAAGAAATAAGGAAAGCAAGTTAACATTAGGTAAATTAACATTAGAAAACCCACAGAAGCAGCAAATGCTGCTTGTACGTGGTGAAAAAATATGAATTTCGATAAAAAAAAATGGAAGGAAAGAACTCCGGTATTGAACAATCACAAAAACTTCGGACACGTATAATATATATGTATATAAAATTACTGACAATACTGAAATAAATAATTTCGGAATATGAATCAACGTACCAAAATTCAAGAGTGAAAAATTCTTAATTAATATGTGCGTGTGAAAATGTGATGAGCACTCGAAAATATCTAAAATAATTGACAAATTGTTCTATGGAACGAAATCCATCGATAGTTTACCTAATTCGGCTCTTTATTTTTTTGTAATAACATCGGATTTTTGAATAACGACTTCAATAAAAAATCTATTTTTCAAATTGGATGCGCACTGTTAAAAAAAAGAAGTTTTTTGTTTTGCCTGAAGACGGATCTGGATTCGAAATTGGATTCATATTTAATTCTGATGAGAAATATGAGTTGAATATACCTACCAAGTATGAATCGATTATACACAATGGTTCAAAAGTTATGACCTGACCATAGATGAAGATTTTGCCAATATCAAGATTACGTTCTGTATCACAGTTATTGAAGATGGTGAATTATCAAAAGATACAGTTCCGAACAGGAAGCACGAAAATCAGAAGAAAGTATTCCTTGATCAGAGAAAAAACAACAAACGGTACGAAACATACAGGGTATGTTACGACGAGCTTACACTATATCGAGAATCAGTCAGGAGAAATCCATGAAAATATGCATGTGATCAGAATGCTGAATCTTGAACCACCCTGTATCTGTCCCGATTAAATATCAGTAAATAGTGAAACCAAAGTTGAGATAGGAACATGTGAGCCGTTTTGACCGATAATGAATATTTTCCACACAAAAAAATCCTAAAGTTGAAAAATATCGATTTTGAACACCCTATATCTCTATAATAATTTTCGATAGACCCCGTATGATATATCGATGAAATCAGCTCTTCAGGGAGAATCTTAAAATGCGATAAAATACAGGGTGTTCCGTTCGAAATATCAATGTTGCTTATACTTTCTAGTAGAAGCGGCAACACTGCAGCGTATACCAAAATATAAGCATGCACATTTTCATGAATTTCTCCCGACTGATTCTCGATTTAAAGATAGTGTAAGCTCGTCGTGACATACCCTGTATAGGGTAATGAAGTTAAATGAATACAGAGAAATATGAGGAAAAATTGAGAGAATTTCTCTGCACTCACCAGCGTGAAAAAAGTGAGGCTTTGATGAAACAACACGAAACACTAGAACACCACACGATCCCGATATTATTATTATAGAATCGAATGAGGAATACAAAAACACTATATACGAATCAATACGATCACTCAATTTTTAGTGAACACTTATTAGTTTGGAACGATAAATAATTCCTTTCGCGTATTTTTCGGTGTCGATCACAAAATTCGACCTTACTTGATGACATATAATATAAGACTGTCTTGATTTACCACCTGGTCCCGAATGAATGACTAATAAGTTGAATCATGCTGCAAACCGATTAATTTCCGAACAAAAAATTATTTATCTATGACTAATGATGATAATAAAATTGAACGGAAGGAGAGAGATATTTTGTATACAGGTGCTATTTTTTTTCGAAAATCACTAACGATAAGGAAGTCGTAAGCTCGACTCACCTGAATCAACGTATTCTATGGTTTCGTTCAGTAATGAGAACATCGCTGTTTTCGTAGATTTTTCAGATCGAAATCCATGCTGCCTATCACTCAAGACAGAATGTTTATCAAGAAACGAATTAAGACGTTCCAAAAAGGCATATATTCCAAAACTTTCGAGAGTCCACAAGGGACTGTTACAGGACGATAATTTTCCACACGGGTTGTGTCTTTCTTTCTGAAAATAGGAGTGACTTTACCAGTTTTTAACTTTTTCTTAATATTTGATGTACAGTCAACTTTTATTATGGATGATGCTACTTATGTTTTGTATCTTTCTAGCTGTTGGCAGGTGGGGATATCACTGATGGGATATTTGTTTTCCTCCTGATCTTTCTTTATATTCAATGAACCTAGTCATTTTTCATGGATGCCACTGTATATGTTTCGTATCTTTTTGGCTATGTCCCTGATAGGACATATTTATTTTATTTTGTTTTGGTACATTTCACTTGGTTTTAGTACAATTCGATAGCGATTTCAGTACAATAAGCTGTTTTTCTTCTGGCAACACTGGTTGAATAATATGTCATTCACTCTTCACTCATTTGTGATTAGTCAATGTCATGATTGTCATGTCAATTTGTCAATTTTGAAAGAAAATGGCTGAGAGAATGGATGAAAACGATAATAACGAACGGACGGAAAATGAAAACCAGAAGGCCGAAAAGATGTTCTCTTTGAAGAAGTGGAACGCCGTGGCCATGTGGAGCTGGGACGTCGAATGCGATACCTGCGCCATTTGCAGGGTCCAAGTTATGGACGCCTGTCTTAGGTGCCAGGCAGAGAGCAAGAAGGATTCCTACGGGAAACAGGATTGTGTGGTTGTTTGGGGGGAATGCAACCATTCGTTTCATTATTGTTGCATGTCCCTGTGGGTGAAGCAAAACAATAGGTGCCCCCTTTGTCAGCAGGAGTGGTCCATACAAAGAATGGGGAAGTGATGGTTAGGTTTAGTTTCTCTTTCAATTAACCCTCTTTATTCAATGATTGTGTGAACTTTGGACGTAGCTACCTATGACAACAGTATCCTACCTCATGCCAATGTATTTCTGGGAATTAACAAGTATATGTAGATTTTTTTTCAGGGATTGAAACCCCATAAGTGTCAAGAATGTTTCAAGTCATTCTTTGAACGTCATCATCTGATAGTCCATCTTCGCAGTCATAGTGGTGAAAGACCTTATATGTGTGATTTTCCTGGTTGTGGAAAGTCCTTTGTGGAAAGCCAGAAAGTGAAAAGGCACTATAAAGCTAAGCACATTGGAAAGTGATTCAGTACACTTTCTAGGTATGTGATAATTTCAACAACTCATATGTAGGTAATAGAAGTATCCAATCAACATTTCCTTATATTTAATTCATTACTATTATCTAAAGTTTCCTTCAATTGTCTGGGAGGAGTGATCATTAATCATAATTATCAAGACATTGATGTTTCAACTTACAAGAAAGGGTTTACATTTTTACTATGAGAAATTATATTTTTGGTCTGAGTTGTCTGAGGATGAAATACTTGAATGGACCAAAGATTTGATTTTGAAAGTGATTGCATTGCTTTGAGTAAACCATTACCCAGACATTTATATTTTATTTTTCTATTGGTGAACATTGAGTTTATCCTTGTATTATTTTTTTCAATGTTATGAATGAAAAAGTGTGATAGTGATGCTCATCATTGAATGAGCATATTTTTGTGATTATGCTATAATTTTTCAAATTTACAACAATGCATATTATTTTTTACTCTTTGATCATTGTTAATTGAAAATACTTCTATTTATCAATAAATTTTGAATCAACTCAAATGTTTATTATTCAATTATTTAGTGAGTTCTTTGATAATCTAAAACTGAAGTTCTTATTTATGAAATCTTCAAAATTGAATCTAACTTCAGTGCTCTGTGGCTTCCTTAGAAATAACCTGTGTATGTGAGAATTTCTAATTGAAAATCAACATCACATTGTCAATCAACTCTCTACCAACACTCCATAACATGAGAAAATACAGGTATTAATAAAATCTATCTTATATAGGAAAAATCTGAATTTTGACATGGTCCACACTGAATAAAACACATGAAAGTTGAACATTTCCCATACAATTTGTTATGTTGTTATGGTAATTTCACAGGGGGAAGCAGTTCATTTATTTTCAGGGATAAGGTCACAAAAGAATTGATTGATTTAATACATATTTTTGACAATTCGGATAGTTAAATTGAAACTTTGAAAGTTGAATCTGACAGAACAGATGTATTCTTTATAAGAAACAAGAAGCTGCCACATTTCAATCTTTTGAAATTTCAGAGGTATTCAGAATAATGCATTGATTTTGAAATTTCAAGTATTAAATCATCCATCTGGTAATTGATTTATTCAAATAGGTTTAAGGTTGACTGATTTCAGAAAATATCACAATATCAAGGCACATCGAATTTATTATATAAACTGATTGAAAAAAGCTAAGGATATAGGATATTTTCAAATGCAAACAACATTAATATTATAATAGCTACAGTAGATATTTTCTAGAATGATATCTACCTATCAAAAAGAGTAAAAAGACCATATCCTCAACTCAGGCAAATGACATATATACTAATAGCTTAACCACATTTTTTAGAAGAATGACTCCATAGCAGAAAGACAATTTTTTTTCTATCAGTTTATATTATCTTGATCCTGAGTTTACTCTGGTGACAGAAATGATTATCTCTCATTTATCTGCTGAATGTATCTTGTGTGATTTATTCAGTCAAGATAATCATCTCAGTTGATTCATCAATTTAATTGCCTCTGTTTGCCTTTATATTCAGAATTGTGATACCTATTTCAGAATATCAACATGAGTAGAGAATACATTATTATTTCCATGTATTTCATTAAATCCAAATAGGTGTCCCCAAAGCCTGAAAATTAATTATTTAATTCTCAATTGCATTATAGTTTTTAGTCTCAAAATGTTTCAATTGCTTTACTTAAAAAACAAAAAAGCCAGTAGTGTAACAAACTTTTACACTTTTTCGCCCATTAGTGCAGAACTTGTCAATATTCTAAGAAAGAATGTCCCGGCTGTTCATTAAATGACGTAATGGGCTTATATCACAAAAAAAATTTATTTCATAATTCGATAGAACTCACCCAAACTACCTCACCACCGCAAACCGTTTCTTGCTGTGACCTCTGAAAACGAGGCGATGATGTGACGTCAAAACCCTAATACTGAAACAAGGCTATTCCAGACAGAGATGAATGATAATGATTTCTGAGAGAGTGAAGTAGCGCGAGATCACAGTTGAAAGAATTAATAAATCAGTTGCCTCAGTCTCCGTCGGGCGTTTGGTATTTTCTTTTAACTAAGGCGAGATGAGGTTTCTATGTCATAAAAGGGTCCGTTTTCAGAAAGTACTATTATTTATGTCCAAAAATAAAACATTCCAGTTAATTTTTCGATCGAATTATGTCGTCAATCATTATTTATGTATAAAAGGATCATTATAAACATGGTTTGAGTTAAGAGTTCTACTAAGGTGTACATGCCCATTGGGTCAAATGAACATGTTATATACGTATATAATATCTCATTTTTTATTCTACTACTGCTATGGGCGTCCTTATTGATGAAAACACCTGTTGTAACGAGATATTTTATTTTTCTTAAATATATTGAATATTTTTCAATACCCATTAATTATTTCAACAACTCTCAAATAGCTCATTACTTACAAATGCAAAATATTTTGAATATGGTGTAAACTTTTCTGGGAGTTGTTTGCCTACTTTACGCCCTTGATAGATAAATATCTAGTGTAGGTATTAACACAGATTGGATGGTTGAGTATGCAAAATAGAAGAATTCATCACACTGTGCTTCGTACCACAAAATTGTTATGTTGCTGGTGCTACCCAGAACTCCGATCAGAACTCCTCTATTGTCTCTCCTTTCCAAATTTTTCAACTTTTTTTTTCAGTCGGTCCCTTGTTTTCGCTCATGAAAACTAAAGTTTCGATTTTAGAGGAAAAAGTTACCTAGATAGTATGTGGAACTCGACTGGTGCTACCCAGAACTCCGATCCGAACTTTAGAAAGTGGTGGATATGCTACATGAGCGTATGAATGTCCCTATTAAAAATAGGAATAACTTTGTTATTTCGCCGGAACTATCGTTGAAATATATCAGGAACTCCAGAACTCTTTCAAATACGTCGAAATTTCTCATCAGAACTCTTTTCTGTTAAAAAAGCGGCGCCGCGTGAAGTTAGCACCCACAATTTTGTTTTTCGTATTTTTTCTACAACTAACCAGAACTACTGAAATTTTTTGTCAGGAACTCCAGAACTCTATCGTATCTACCCAGAACTCCGATAAAAATTCAGTTTTTCAAAAAAGTCGGTGCCAACTTCACATAAGTATCACCGCAAACCGTTTCTTGCTGTGAGCTCCCTACGTTTTATAAAAATTTATTGAAATTCCCGATTTTTCGGACCTCTGAAAACGAGGCGATGATGTGACGTCAAAACCCTAATACTGAAACAAGACTATTCCAGACAGAGATGAATGATATGATACATGATTTCTGACAGAGTGAATTCGAGATCACAGTTGAAAGAATTAATATGTCAGTTGCCTCAGTCTCCGTCGGGCGTTTGGTATTGTTTTCTTTTAACTATGGTCATAAAAGGGTCCGTTTTCAGAAGGTACTATTATTTATGTCCAAAAATAAAACATTCCAGTTAATTTTTCGATCGAATTATGTCGTCAATTATTATTTATTTATGGAAGGATCATTATAAACATGGTTTGAGTTAAAAGTTCTACTAAGGTGTACATGCCCATTGTTGATAGTTCTAGATTTTTTCTTTTTTTTCACAAATTTCACTCGCATGGATGTGCCATTTCCCAGAAATAATTTCCATGGCATGTGTTTCACTTTCTATCTATTAAGAAAAATTTTGTTCTCCTTGAGTTTTGTTGAATGAAATATTGAATTCAGTCGATTTTTCAATGCCGCTGTCAGATTTAAAAACTAACCCCACGGAGATAAGAGATAACCAACTACTATAAGAAGAAGTTGCTCAATTAATTCGATTTCGAAATGGTATAACATACGGGATTATTCAAAACAGCCTTCTTGTAATTGATTCTCTTCAAATGGGTCGTGTTTTTAAGAAAAATTGAATAACTTTGGAAACATCATCAATTGGATAAACACATAATTATACCGTTAGTTTGATTGCAAATGACCCTCTCTATCACCCCACTTCTTTTGTTCCATGACTTATGAAACACCCTGATGTATAACTCCGTTCCTGAATGTATAGAGAACCTCGGCATTATTTGCTTCAGGTCTGAATATAAAAATGAACTATTTAAAACACACATATCTAGATATTCCTCTACCTTGCTGCCCAAAAAAAAAAAACTCCTTGGCACACTGTATCAGTGTTGAGTAGAAGAGCATTTTCGTAGTGATACTTTTTCTCTTCAAAAATGAACTTCGCCCTTTTTTCTCAAAATTTTTCTTTAATGTTTATATAATGAATATTACATGAAAATAATAAAGAACTTCATTTTAATTTTTATTATTTGATGCTATTTTCCCATTTAATTTCAATCATTGAGGTTTCTGCTCGGGTTTCTGGTATTAGACATCCAAATTCATTATACAAATTAGTATTATGGAAGAGATTTCTTTCCCAAAGGGTACCATTCTAGATGTTATAGGTCGAGAATAATTTACCAGAGACCTCAATCTCAATGATTTCCATTATTTGTTTTGACAATGTTGCCACTTCTCAGAACTTGTTTGATATATTCGTAAAAAATGGTGTTATGAAAATTGATGTTGCTGTAACTAGGCAGCCAATCAAAATTGTTCAATGAAATTTTGCGATTTACCTAATTGAATGATGCTAAATCCTGTGGAGTCCGATTTTCTTCGCTATTTGTGTAAACGTACAGTCGAATTCAATAAAAAAGCATAAAAGTATATTACAGAGAGAAACTGACGTCTCAATTTCAGAGGATTTTCATTTTTCATACTCTCCTTCTGGATGTTCAACTAATATGATTCAATGTTCGACGTGGCAAATAGTCAGGAAAATAGTTGTTTCCTGTTGAATATTCAGAATGATATTATGTGCATATACATATTTTCATCTGAATGAGAATGCAAATTCTCAAATTCAGAAGATTTTATTTTCAAATTCTTATCATGTGTGTTCAATAGATATATAATTCAATGTTCGTCGTGGCATATAGCCAGAAAAGTAGTTGTTTTCTTTTGAATAAAGGAAGAATTGATATTTTCATTACATATAGCGAATACGAATTCTCAATGTGTTTCTTTATACAGGGTGTTCATTTCAGGACTTCCCACCCTAATTTTCTCGAAATGTGTGTATGTTTTTGAAAAATCCCGAGACACGTCAACTACATTTTCGAGGGGGACATGGTTCTAAAATATTTTCAGCCCCGCGGCGTTACCGCTTCTAACGAAAAGAAGCAACAACTTTGTTATTTCAAATGGAACACCCTGTATTTTATTGCATTTTTAGATTCTCCCTGAAAAGCTGATTTCATCAATGTATCACACTTGGGGTCTAGCAGGAATGATTACAGAGATATAGGGTGTTCAAAATCGAGATTTTACAACTTTAGGATTTTTTTGAGTCGAAACTATTCATTATTGGTCAAAACGGCTTTTATGTCCCTATCTCAACTTTTGATTTACTATCTACTGACATTTATTTGAAACAAATACAGGGTGGTTCAAGATTCAGACTTTTGATCACCCTGT